CCAGCGTACAAGAGATAGTGCCACTATCGGCGGTGGACCGTACGAAGGCCAAAAGCTGTACGAAGGCAATCTCTGATCGTCTTCGCGGGCACTCTTATATGCCCTGGGCAGCTCGAACTCGCGTGCGAGCCGAGGGGCTCGCGCGCGCGACAACCCAGATCGCCGCGTCGCGGCGGCTCCGTGGATTAGAAGCGCCAGGGAATTTCGACGTTCAGGTGGCGTCCAGCGACTCGGCATCCCGCGCGTCGGGTCACCGCGAACTCAAGCGCGATCCTGAACAGCATATTCAAGCTGTGTACCATAATGGCCAATCGTATGGAGAAGGTAGAGAGCTAGGGACAGCTTCGCGAACTAAACTGTATACCACAGTCATCATGCGTAACTGAAGGGTAAAGAATGATAACTTTTGATAAAAATTAAATTTCCAATTCGCAAAATTGTGTAAATTATTGTATAGAGAATAATGAACGCGGCTATTGAAATTATGAAAGAGCCAAACGAACCGCAGAGCCTCTTAGCCCCTTAAGCCTCGCTGAATCGATATTTGTTGCAAATTCGAAATTGAATATCTCGACACCTAAATATCCTAGCAGCAAATTTCAAAAACGGTTTAAAAGCTTTGAAACCGTACTTTTCGAAAGATCTATCGAAATTGTGCGCAACGATATTTTTTCAAAATGGCGGATGATAAAAAGGAGAACATGAAAAGTTGCTAAAAAAAAGTTCGAGCGTACGACGGCGCATGGAGCAAAGCAAGTGTCGCAGCTCAATGGGACGAAAAGTACCCAAAAGTATAGAATGTTTTCTTTAAAATACTTCGTTATAGAGCTTGATGCGATATTTATTCACTGAATTATGCAAATTTAACAAGAAAACCGCATTTTTAGCAAAATTTGGAACAACTCAGTGAAAAATGATCACATCGAGCTCGGTAAAGTAGCATTTTAAAGATAACACTCTATACTTTCATGTGCATTTGGTCCCATTACGCTGCGATACCTGATGCACACCATGCACCATCGCAAACACGGACCTTTGATTATCAATTTTGCATCCTCTCAATTTATCATCCGCCATTTTGAAAAAATGGCCGAACCTAATTGCCATTCAGATATTCTTGAAGAGGACGTTTCAAGCTTCATTTTGCATTTCTACGCATATTTGTATCTTCATTATTTACCAAGTTATGATCATTTGAAATTTTGTAATTTTTTCCCAAATTTTTAGTGTACCGGGTTTTTTGCGTTTGAGTGTATATGCGATATATACGTATACAGGATGTCTCAGAACTTTGGGACACGGGCTCCATAGGGATATAGAGCTAGGTGAGAGGAACAAAAAAGTCCTGTGCCATAATGTGAAAATCGTAATAGTTTTTTAATTATAACAGCGCAAAGTTAGGCGTTTTCCACGCCTAGTGCAGCCTATAGACGCTCCGCGGCAAGCTGTGTGCGTGGGGGCTGAGCGATAACGCGTCTCGCACTGACTGTCGCAATGGCGTCGTGATGCTTTGACGCCGCACGACGGTCAGCGAGCTGCGTTACAGCCATCGACATATAGAATGGACTGCTGATGGCAGTGGAGGGGGTAATTTCTCGAGTAGAGTGAGAGGCAGACAATATAAGGTGTCCTGTCGTCTCTTTCCCACGCAGAAGCGTAGTACACCACAACAGAGCCCCAGTCCTAATGATGAAATATGTTCAAAATGTGTTTTATTGATATTGAGGTGGAAAGAAATGTAAACATATATGTAAATAGATAAAAAAATAAAATAAAAGTCGATGTCATATATGCAGTATTGTTGTTTATTTATTAAACGACACGTAATAAAACTTGCAACATATGTATGAATAATACAATAAATATATATTATATAAGTACATGTTATATATAAATATAATTTATGCATATAAGAAGTATATATTTAGAAACAGTGTGAACGAATACATATAAGAAAATAACAAAAATAGTTTTTATGCCTTCATTGACTTTTGAAAAGTATTAATTTCATTAATTTACTTCTAACTCTTTCAACATTTACACTGTTAGAATTACCATAGTTGATACATCTTGCTTTAAAGTATTTATTGAGTACAAGTTTAATCAATTGGAAACGGTGGTCATTGAGAGGATTCTGATCGAATAAATGTGTTGTATTGTTAAATATGTTACTTGGTACTTTTCGCAAAGTGTTTAGTAATAACATGCGTAGGATATTCTTTTCCTTAAGAATCGACATATTCTCTCTGAATGTTAATTCGGCTATTCTACATAAAGTCACAACATCAGCTGATGCATTAGTCAATCTTCCACGATTTTTCACGACTTGTAACTTGGAATGGCACACATTGCTGTACAATTGTTGTTTACAAATGTCATAAGATATGCTATCTACTATTTTGAAAACAAGAAATCCAGCAATATAAGCTACAACATCGTCTATGTAACTTTTGTTCAAATTATCAAAAGCTGTGTAAATAATAGTCGTGATCGTGGTCTATACTCGAAGTTTCTGTACATGAGTCCATACTATAATTCTGAGTGGTTATTTCACCTATGCCGTGTGTCGCTTCTGCCGGAAATATGTGCAAAAAAGGTGTATTATCTTGTACTAGACAATTCGCATACTTGGAACCACCAATTTGTGCATGTACTAACAATTTCTTAAATGCCGCAATGAATTGCAAGCATGTAGGATTATTGTTATTTCCACAGCGACTTCTCACTGCCGAAAAAAATAATTCAAGGTGATCCTGCGATAGTTTGTAAGTCAACAAATAATGAACAGAAGGATTTGGTGCGACCTAAGTATCGAAGACGTCTACTGCACTATGTAAAGAAATGATTATTCCGATAAATCCTGTCTTATGACTACTGTGAACAATTAATTGACCATTAACAGTCAAGGATCTTATATACCTTTCAATATTCGCAATTTTGCATTGAATGTCATGAATATTAGATTGTGATATAGGCATTTTCTGGGGATCGGTATTAAATTTATTGCGCGAATTCAAAATATCGAATGCTTCATTCATAATGGAACAAAACGTTTCCGTAGCCTTACTATTTTGAAAATGTGGTAACTGCAAGTCATCGCGTAAATATGCCAATGTTTTTGCAACACTATTGCTGAGCGTTTGAGCTGCCAGAAACACTTTCATTTTCTCATTTTGCCAATTCATATGTCGCTTGCGCAGTTTAGTTGCAGCGTGCAAACCGTGTTGTTCTTGAAATTGTACCAATTTCTCCAGGAAAGACCACTTTATTATATTACCATCTCCGTCGACGATGACTTGCATTTTTCCAAATAAGTTTCGAATCAATTTCAACATATGGCATGGATCGAGTACTACAAATATTTTTGCGTTCGAAACCGGATGCATAAAGTAAACTTGCAAATTGTTCTTAATGTCTAATTTCGCATCTAACTTTGTGGCCAATAAAAAGTTATATTGCGGTCCATCGAAGGTGATGGAAGTAACTAAAACTCCGATTTCATGTAATTGTATTAATGTGTCATTCATTATATTCGCTCGTTCCGTGCTATTCAATAAATGTATGAAATAGTACGCGATAGGAATTTTCCAATGACCATTGACTCCTACAACCATTAATACAACAGCATTGGAAGCCTCGGGCAAGTCAACGTCATTCATTTTTTTACCGAAATTAATAAATCCTACGTATTCGTTCTTATGCCATTCAACTTTTTTCCGAATCATTACGTCGTCCATAACTAAAGAACATAGAATAATTTGGTTTTTTTCGCACGCAATTTTAGCCTTTTCTTGCAAAAATTGTAATGCAGGTTTACATATCCCAGGATAACCGTCAACATTAGTATCCCAAGAACGAATCGTACTTTGATGCGGTAACATCTTCATAAAGGTTTCTCTTACATATTCGTATGCTTTCGGGGAGTAGAAATGTAAAGACGCTGCAAAATTTTGTAACTCCGGAGGGAATTTCACAAACGTGTGATGTTGGGATAGCATTTTTTTTACCATAGATTTAACAACTGGGGTAGCCGACTGCAAAATGTTTAATGTGCCTCATTAGTTATATTTTTATTATATTAATTTCTTTGCAATCGCGAGTTAATATTGCATTGCTATTCGTAATGAAATAATTACATTATAAAAGAAATACAGAAATAGGTTAATCCTTGACAATTATTAGTCTTTCAGGGTACGTTCGGGGAGCTCACTATCAGTACTATTAGCGTATTCTATCCTTGTACATCTAATGAGCGATAAAAATATAATGACGCTAATAGCGTCTCCCCGAACGCACCCTCATTCTATTGCGTCAACGTTGCTGTAAATTAATAACGTTTATATAAATCTCTGTATTGTAACATATGTTTCGCAGTGTTTTTACAGCTGCATAAACACAGTTGTTTCAATTTCAATCATGATGTTGTTGTATAGATACAACTCGATTTGTGCATTTATCATAGACATATCATCAGTTTTCCATCTTCACAATCAACATACTGTAGTGAATTGTTCATTTAGCACGATTGCAGAATGTAATTAATGATAATTACTTGTGTAAAACAATACGTTGCACATTACTGTAATGTAAACGAAATTGTAGCATTTCTAATAGCGAATTCGATCGCTTGCACTAATGCACATCGAGTGCACACTAAAGTTTGTTCCAAGTCAATTCTTCTATTTCAGTATCGTTTTAAATACCCCTTGAAATACTTTGTAGCCAATATAATGATTTATATAGCATCCGTACGGATCGTTTTATTGGCTACAATGTTCTTAAACATGTATTTAGGACCATGTGAAATATAAGAACGGGTTATAAAGAAGCCTTCATGCGTGCTTGCGCAAGCGGCCGAATTCGTTCCCCGAATTACAAGTTAAAAGTAAGTTTAAAGTATCAAATACTTACGTCAAGATTTTTCCGAACTGTATCGGAAATTAAATTATTATCATGCAAATGTTTATTTAATTCAATCAAACTCTGCAATCGTCGTCTTTGGGTATTTACGTACGATTTCAACTTTCTTATTTCGTTTTGCTTATCTTCTATTGTTTCCATTGCAACCTTCTATTACAAATTTTGCTTCTTCCGCATGTTTGGACACTTTGTTCACGTTGATGTCCTTCAGTCTTCTGATGTGTTGCAAAGGAACATCCACTTCTTCATGCCCCATTGATTTCCTAGGAAAGGAATACATTAATAGTTAATGGATGTTATAGATACAACAATGTATTAGCCAAACATGTACTTTCACACCTTTTCAACGAATTCGGTTTATCCTTTGCAGCATGATTCCATTCCATATTGCATTCTTCTATTTCTATTATATCCGACTGTTCTTCAGATATGATCTGAAAATATTTATACCAGTTATTATATTCTTGTATTGTAAATTACTTGATACTATGTTGTGCCATCACCTCTAACTTTCGAGCATTAATTTCTGTTTTGGTATGATATTACATTTCTGCAATACATACCGCTTTATTCGCACTGTCATCGTTGTTGGTTTTTCTTCCAATACAAGGAATAGTGTTTTTAAGACGTCGTCTATGTCCATATATTGTTTCTGTAAAGTCTGTAACTTTAAAGTGGTTTGAGCATAGTCGAGCTGATTTGGCAGCTTCATCTATATTCATTGCTTGCAACCACTTCCTTCTACGATCCTTATCTGTAGAAAATCTGCAAATTACAATATTAATTTATATTGATCTCATTAATTCTCTTTCTCTTCTTTCTCTCTCTCTCTCTTTCTCTCTCTCTCTCTCTCTCTCTCTCTCACTCTCCATATGAGCTTGATTGATCTTTACTTCTACATCGCTGCATTTGCCTCAGTAATTACTATATAACACACCATGAAGAACATGGAATAGCTAACAATGCGTTGGGGAATACAGGGAATGGGTTACAACAATTATATTGACATTCTAATCTCTTCTATACACCTACAAGAATATTATATATTCTTATACATATTACGGTTCTATAACCTCTTTTACATTATAATGTTCTCAAGATTATTATATGCAATATATACTTACATGTGAAAAGAGATAGATGCATCGTCTGTGCTATTATACAGGAACATTATACACGTAATAACCATTTTACGACTTCTCTTACACGGCTTACTATTGATGTTATTGCCGGTTCTATAACGTTTGGCTTGAGGAACGCTAGGTACAGCATACAGCACTGCAGAGTTAGCGGCACCAATCAGGCTTTACTAAACAGAGACGACAGGACACCTCATATTGTCTGCCTCTCACTCTACTCGAGAAATTACCCCCTCCACTGCCATCAGCAGTCCATTCTATATGTCGATGGTTACCGTTCAGCCCCATCGCACACAGCTTGCCGCGGAGCGTTTATAGGCCGCGCTGGGCATGGAAAACGCCTAACTTTGGCCGCTTGTTATAATTAAAAAACTATTACGATTTTCACATTATGGTACAGGACTTTTTTGTTCTTCTCACTTAGCTCTATGTCCCTATGGAGCCCGTGTTCCAAAGTTCTGAGACACTCTGTATAAAAGTAAAATTTTCAATTACATATTGTTTATTTTAGGCCAACATAGAATATTTATTTCATATCGAACAATGCTTCATTTCATATTTCCATGTATGTTCCTTATAAAAAGGATTTTCAATTCGGTGCAGCCAATGCGACGTAAACTTTGCAAGAAGGAGTCGGTGTCCTATCGCAATAGTTCCTCATCATTTTTCAAAGATGTTTTTTGTTACTCCTATTTATTTTCGTACAAATATTCACTATACAAAAGCGTTTTCAATTCCGTATTTCCAGTGCGACGTAAACTTGGCAAAAGGAAGTCGGTGTTCTATTCGCAATAGTTTCCCATCCTTTTTCTCGGATGACTTGAATTACTCCACTTTATTTTGGCAGGAATATTCATTGTACGAAAGCGTTTTCAATTCCGTGCGGCCAGCGCGACGTAAACTTGGCAAAAGGAAGGCGTTGTCCTATTCGCAATAGTTCCCCATCGTTTTTTAGGTCGATTTATATCAGGTGTAGTAAAAAGAAATCCATTATTTTTGCATGAAATTGAAGGTTTTAATTACCATAGTTAGAATCCGATCCGATTTAGGTCAAATATGCGCCGTTTTGTTCGATAACTTGTTGCCATTTTGAAGGTAATTTCATTATGCCTCTCTCATAGAAGCCCTCGTCCCTATTGGCAAAAAATTGAGACAGTCGATTTTGACAAGCCTCTCTTGAAGCGAATTTTTCACCAGCAAAATTGTTCGCCATGGACAGGAACAGATGGTAATCACTTGGTGCCAGGTCCGGACTATAAGGTGGATGCATAAGAACCTCCCAACCAAGCTCCCAGAGCTTCTGGCGAGTTACTATCGATGTGTGTGGCCTGGCGTTGTCCTGATGGAACACAATTCCTCTCCTATTGGCCAAAGCTGGCCGCTTCTGGGCGATTGCTTCCTTCAGACGGTCCAATTGTTGACAGTACAGTTCCGAGTTAAGAGTTTTAGGGGAGCAGCTCATAGTAGATAATTCCCTGCCAATCCCACCAAACACACAGCAAAACCTTCCTGGCCGTCAATCCTGGCTTGGCCACCGTTTCCGCCGGCTCACCGCGATTCGACCACGACCGTTTTCGCTTGACGTTGTCGTAAGTGATCCACTTTTCATCACCAGTGACCAACCGCTTCAGAAATGGGTCGGTTTTGTTGCGATTCAGCAACGATTCGCAGATGGAAATTCGGTCCATGAGGTTTTTTTTCGTTAACTCGTGTGGCACCCATACATCGAGCTTCTTTTTGTATCCAGCCTTATTCAAATGGTTCCAAACGGTTTTTTGTGCAATCTTTAGCTCTTGGACAATCGAAACAGTGCTTACATGACGGTCGGACTCGATAATGTCCATGATTTTATCGATATTTTCGACAATTGGCCTTCCAGTGCGTGGTGCATCTTTGACATCGAAATTACCGGAACGGAATCGACGAAACCAAAATTGCGCGTGATTGGCTGTTACAGTATCAGGACCATAAACACTATTCACATTTTCAGCCGCCTGGCTTGCGTTTTCGCCTTTATCGAAGAAAAATTGTAAAATAAAGCGTATTTTCTCTTTGCTAGTGTCCATCTTTGACGCGCGCTCAATCAAAACTGAGTCAACTAATCACAAAACTATCAGAAAAGTTTTTCTGGTACGAAATCTCATCTTTCTAACGCCATCTAGTGGAACCCGATCGGACTTATACAACGCGAGATACAGATAACTAAAGCCATCTATTGGAAAAATAATGGATTTCTTTTTACTACACCTGATATTACGCCGCTTTATTTTGGCAGGAATATTCATTATACGAAAAGATTTTTAATTCGGTGCATCCACTGCAATGTAATCTTTACACAATTGCCAGGAATTTTGCTTATATATATATTTATATGTATATACTTAGGATACATTCGGATTATTCGTTATCACATTTGCAGGAAAATTGCAGCGCTGGCTATGAGAACAGTCGTAAACTATTTTTCTGCTCTGCATTATCATATTTATCGGAAAACCTAACCGCATATATTAAAAATTTTTCTGCAAAGTTTTCGTATCGTTTTAGGTTTCCTACCTAAATTTTGAGTTGTTAGAAATGATTTGTAAATTTTTCCTCATTGAAGCATTTAGAGTTTCAGTACATACAAGTTGCAAAACTTTTGTATTAGATAAATATTACGCTGTCAATTCGAAATTTTAATTTAAAAATTTTTTATCGCTTTCGTTACATATTGAATGATGCTCCAATTAATTTTTGTACGTACTTTCATCGTGTAAAAGCATATTTAATTCTGAAGCATTTAAGACGACGTAAACTTTGCAGAAAAAATATCAAATTTTGAGATCTCTGTCGATAAAGTTTTCGCGTTCAGCATCCCCTTAAAATTATATATATAATTAATGCAATTGGTTCAAACATTTTATCAGGATTTCGACGAAACATTTATATATCGTATTAGATGAAGAAAATTGAATGAATAATCTTATTACTTTATTTTATATCTTTTTACCTTTTATACAATAGTGTTTACACATAAGAATGAGTGATATTGTCTTGGTCCGGGAGTATAGTAGATAAAGAAGACCAATCGTAACTGATAAATTGATTACTCGATTCGTTCGTATCTTCTGCTTCATTGACTCCTGCGTCCGCGAGTTTCGTTGACTGTGATATTTCGTTATCATTTAGTTCCGAGGAATCGTCTCGAGCTTCGTCGTCACTATATCTTAAAATTGTAAAATAATTAATATGCAACATTACAATGTAAGTAAGCGTCAGATGAATGTATAAAATAAAGCGAAATAATGTTAAAATAATATCCTGGATACATTTATTCAAGAGAAGTTCCACTTAAACAATAAAGTAGCAATAAGGTCGCTCCAAGCCGACTGCAAATCATTTCATTCATGTTGAGTGATTTTTTCACTCTGAATCGTTGAGTGAATATTTTAATTCGAACTTAAAGAGTAAATCCGACGTGCTTGACCGTTGCACGAACAGAATCACTTTAATCGATTAAAATATTCATTTGTACAAATTCAACAAACTCACTCTGTTTGAGTGAATCACTCCTCCCTCCCCCTCTCTCCCACTCCCTATCACCCTCCCTCTCCCTCTCTCTCTCTCATGTCTACGAGCGATAGCATTTCATTATATATATTTCATTAAGTGAATGTTTGCTCGTTTTAAATGAGATTTCGCTCAATTTTTGTGAAAATTTAACAGATGTGCAACAAAAAATTATATAAAATTAATCTTACGTACCTAGACTCTTCGACGTTTCTGAAACGATGTTTTGACTGTTGTCTGGATAATAACAATATAAACAATGAACATAGGTCCTTCATCGGTGGCAAGGAATGGGCTGATACACTGAGCAACTAGAAAAGATAAAAATTAATGTTAAATAATTTTAAATCAATAGAAGAACGATCGAAATTATTATTTAAACGTTTAATTAATAACACGTTAAGCGCGGCGTCGGTCCCTGGAGACTGACAGTGAACTTTCCGTTTAGGCGGCGTCGCTCGGCCCCTGGGGATTGACAGTGAACTTTTCGTTTGGGCAGCGTCGGTTCCTGGGACCGGCAGTATCAAGGTTAAAAATAACTCACTCGATGAATCGCTATCTCCTTCTGCTTTCAACATTTTTTCGATATTATGGGCAATACATTTTTTTGAAAATAATGACTATGAAAATTACTTTATAAAACATAACGAACTAAAATTCTCTCTGTGCAAAGAACCTGTACACTTCCGTGGGCTTTTTCTAACTGATCGTCTTTTGGAGATCGCTTTCTTACCGTTCTCCATCTGATTATCTTTTGTTTATACTTTGTATACTTCTATATTGGCGGGCATTACCACAGCCCAAACGGAAAATGAAGTAAATCGTCAACGCGATATGCAGTGATGTCAGATGCAATATATTGCGACGCTACAGCGCATGCGTGAGATGACGTAGGAGCTCTATGCCAATGGTGGCGTTCAGAAAACAAAATGTTCACTGAGCGCTTAGTAACTATTGGTCCTTACTGTTAGATCCTTACATTCAGACCAATAACGTTGACGAATTACTCAACCGTTGTGTAACCGTTGTGTTTCCTGAACGCAGCCAATAACGGCAATAAAGCGCATCGCAGGGCCCATAAAAGGGCCCGCGTTATCCGATCAGCTGTCTTCCAGGCTGCAGCGTAGTTTTCCCGTGTTTCTTGCGCGAGTGCCTTATCTTAGGTTATATTGTTCAGTGGATACTAAATATCAGTTACATTAACATTATAATTTCAGTGGATACTAAGTAACAGTTACGTTACATTAACATTATAATTTTTCACTCAACTATGTAACTGTATAACTATGTAACTGTAACATAATATTTGTATTAGAATCATACTAGACTATAGATTGAGAATTACTCTCGGACCAATTAAAATAACCACGATTTAGATTATCTAATTTACTCGATTACAATTCTCAATACATAGTATAATACGGGCGCTATAATACTTTAAAAAAGATACGATACTGGGGATTTTACTCAAGCAGCGAGCTCGTCATCTTACGCATGTGCTGTAGCATCGCAATATATTACATCTGACATCACTGGCGATATGTGTGTATCTTCTGTTTATACAGGTTGCGTGAAAAGTCCACGGAGTGGCATCTATAAATAAACGGTAGAATTATAAATTGTAGTCGGTTATATAGAATCACTCTTCGCATGAACCTAGATTAGGTCTCATTTCCATCTGTCAATTCTTTCTGTGTTTACAAGCCAATTGAAGTTGACGTGTCGGTATATTTGTTTGCAATGGAAAATTTGAAACAGCGTGCAGTGATTGAGTTCTTTGTTAAAAAAGGTTTAAAGGCAATGGAAATTCATTCCGAGGTAATTATTCAGTTTAGCCACATCATCACCGATTTTGATGAAACTAGGCTCATTCAACGCGTTTTTGCAGAACAAACAACTTTTTCCTTTAGCAAAATCGTCGCTCTGCCTTCCGAAGCGAGATATTAAGCGTTAAAGCAGATAACAGTTTAGGTTATGAATCCTGTCAGATGGACTGAATGTAACGACACGAACAAACTGCACGAAATATATGAGCATCACCACACACACACACACACACATACACACACACACACAAACACACACAAACACACACACACACACACACGCGCGCGCGCGCGCACGCACACGCACGCACGCACACACACACCGAAAGAGGGGTGCGGGGGGGTCTTCGACCCCCTTTCCCGCACCCCGTGTGTGTGTATGTGTGTGTGTGTACATATGTTGGTACTGCATGTATATACATGTTTGAGACTTTTTCATTTGTTACATATCAATATAATACACAAGATAGGTGAGTTTGAGCGAAATCCAAGGTGAGGCCCGTCTTCTAAATAATTACCCAGAACAATATGACTTTGTGTCACATGAGTTGCGACTTTCCACGGACGCGTGTTCCACTCATCGAGGGGGGTGCGGGTGGGGGGGACCGAAGGCGTGTGTATGTGGTGATGCTCATATACTTCGTGCAGTTTGTTCGTGTCGTTACATTCAGTCCATCTGACAGGATTCATAACCTAAACTGTTATCTGCTTTAACGCTTAATATCTCACTTCGGAAGTCAGAGCGACGATTTTGCTAGAGGAAAAAGTTGTTTGTTTTGCATAAACGCGTTGAATGAGCCTAGTTTCATCAAAATTGGTGATGATGTGGCTAAACTGTATAATTAATGAATGTAATAATTAATGAACTGTAAAATGAATAATTACCCATTCCGAGATGGTAAATGTGTTAGGGGAATCTGCTCCTTCAAAAACAATTTGTAAATGGGCACTTGAGTTTCAACGTGGTCGTACAAGCATTGAAGATGATCCACACAGTGGACGTCCAAAAAGCGCATCAACACCAGAAATCATTGAGCAAATATATGTTATTGTTTCTGAAGATCCAAGTGTGACTACGCGTGAAATTGCTCATACCATAGGCATTTCAGATGAATGGGTATGGCATATTTTGCATAAAGAATTACAAATGAAGAAGGTGTTTGGAAAAGTGCCGCACACGTTAACAATTCAACAAAAACTCCCTAGAAAGCAAATTTCTCAGCGTCATTTGGATCGTTTTAAGAAGAATAAAACCGACTTTGTGCGTCGTTTTATAACTATGGATGAAACTTGGATCTATCACCATGATCCTAAATTGAAACAGGAACATTTACAGTGGACTGAAGCTGGATGTTCAGCTACAAAGCAAACAAAGCATGAAAGATCGGCAAAAAAGGTTATGGCATCAGTTTTTTTAGATGCTAAAGGGATTTTATTAATTGACTATCTGGAAAAAGGTAAAACAATTAACTTTGAATATTATTATAACCTTTTGGATCAATTGGACGCAAAAATTCGTGAGAAAAGACCTGGTTTGTAGCACAAACAAATCATTTTTCACCAAGACAACGCACCTGCTCACAAAAGTGTTTTGTCAATGTCTAAATTCAATGAATTGAAGTACAAATTGCTTGATCATCCACCGTATTCGCCAGATTTGGCACCCAGCGACTTTTATCTGTTCCGAAACCTGAAACAATTCCTCCGTGAAAAGCATTTTTTGTCGAATAAAGAAGCTATAGCAGCCGTAGAGGCATATTTCGCAGACCTTCCAGAAACACACTTCCGCGATGGAATAAAATTTTGGAGAGCCATTGGGCCAAGTGTATTAAAGTTTATTCTATATAGACTATATTGAAGAATAAAAGACTATGTTGAATGGATATGTTGAATGGAGACTATATTGAAGAATAAAATCATTTTTAGAATTAGGTATTCTTTATTTCAGTTTCGCTCCGCGAACTTTTCACGCAACCTGTACTATGTAACCCAACACTCGTCAAGTGGTCGCCGCCCGCGCCGGCATGCCGGCGCCGCCTGAACGGAAAGTTCAGCAAAATCGGCTCCGCGCTTAACGTGTTAATTAAACGAATGCAAAACTATTAACATATTTTCATTTCTCTGTTTATCACTAAAAGTTCAATTCATAAGTAAACTTATTGTTTTCTTATTCACCTATCAGGTGTAGTAAAAAGAAATCCATTATTTTTCCAATAGATGGCTTTAGTTATCTGTATCTCGTGTTGTATAAGTCCGATCGGGTTCCACTAGATGGCGTTAGAAAGATGAGATTTCGTACCAGAAAAACTTTTCTGATAGTTTTGTGATTAGTTGACTCAGTTTTGTTTGAGCGCGCGTCAAAGATGGACACTAGCAAAGAGAAAATACGCTATATTTTATAGTTTTTCTTCGATAAAGGCGAAAACGCAAGCCAGGCGGCTGAAAATGTGAATAGTGTTTATGGTTCTGATACTGTAACAGCCAATCACGCGCAATTTTGGTTTCGTCGATTCCGGTAATTTCGATGTCAAAGATGCACCACGCACTGGAAGGCCAATTGTCGAAAATATCGATAAAATCATGGACATTGTCGAGTCCGACCGTCATGTAAGCACTGTTTCGATTGCCCAAGAGCTAAAGATTGCACAAAAAACCGTTTGGAACCATTTGAATAAGGCTGGATACAAAAAGAAGCTCGATGTATGGGTGCCACACGAGTTAACGAAAAAAAACCTCATGGACCGAATTTCCATCTGCGAATCGCTGCTGAATCGCAACAAAATCGACCCATTTCTGAAGCGGTTGGTCACTGGTGATGAAAAGTGGATCACTTACGACAACGTCAAGCGAAAACGGTCGTGGTCGAATCGCGGTGAGCCGGCGGAAACGGTGGCCAAGCCAGGATTGACGGCCAGGAAGGTTTTGCTGTGTGTTTGGTGGGATTGGCAGGGAATTATCTACTATGAGCTGCTCCCCTAAAACTCTTAACTCGGAACTGTACTGTCAACAATTGGACCGTCTGAAGGAAGCAATCGCCCAGAAGCGGCCAGCTTTGGCCAATAGGAGAGGAATTGTGTTCCATCAGGACAACGCCAGGCCACACACATCGATAGTAACTCGCCAGAAGCTCTGGGAGCTTGGTTGGGAGGTTCTTATGCATCCACCTTATAGTCCGGACCTGGCACCAAGTGATTACCATCTGTTCCTGTCCATGGCGAACAATTTTGCTGGTGAAAAATTCGCTTCAAGAGAGGCTTGTCAAAATCGACTGTCTCAATTTTTTGCCAATAGGGACGAGGGCTTCTATGAGAGAGGCATAATGAAATTACCTTCAAAATGGCAACAAGTTATCGAACAAAACGGCGCATATTTGACCTAAATCGGATCGGATTCTAACTATGGTAATTAAAACCTTCAATTTCATGCAAAAATAATGAATTTCTTTTTACTACACCTGATATTTTATTAAAATTCAGTAAATAGGA